CGAAGAAAGGCAAAGAGATGGAAACAAGGCATCAGGGATACCTGTTGCTGTGGGAGCACTCACCTTCAAGCAGCCAACAACAGTAACTAGGCAGAACTCGTCAACTTGGAGCAAGGTTTGCCAGGAGAGGTGACCTCTACTTCACATCAGGAGAATTGAGGGCGCACAAGCCCTCTTCAGAAAGCTTCTCTGGATTTCCATCTGTAGCAGCTGGTTCAGTAAAGGATATTATTCCCCGCCACAAATCCTTAAGCCATCACGGCTACTATAGTACTGTACGTTCAAGGTAAGAAGCATCTGACTCTGGATAGAAAGGATACTGTTAAAAGAACTTTCTGAACCAGGAGTTTGTAAAACAAAACCAAAGGAGACAGTGATGGACTGAATAGTGCAGCTTGAGGATCCTCCATTCCCACCAAGGATAATGTTGTCCTGGGACTGCTCCACTGCGACCCCAGCAGTAGTGGATGAGCCCTGATTTAACAGAGGGGAGCCAATTTGGGGGCTATAACACCTTCCCCTCTGGTCTGCTCCTGCCCCAGTGTCTCGTGCTGCAGCTCAGAAGATGCTGGAACACCTCTGAGCCCCCTCTCTTCCAGCTTGACAGGGAGTCCAGGTAGGAGTCAAAAGATAATTTTGACTATCTGATGAGTGATTCAGAAACATATATCTTTTAGAAACCTTTCCAGGATCAATAAATAGAAGGCATTCAGTGAAAGGTTTAGGGATGAAGTCCTGGCTCCTCAGGGTTAATGGGTCCTTTACATTGGCGTTCAGATAGGCCAGGATTTCATGCTGTATTTCCAGAGTGTGAAATACTGTCTCATTATTTCTGTGATCCAAACACCATAGCAGCAGCCACCGGAAAGTGAATCTTCATAGAAACTGACCGTAAACCAAAGTGAATAAATACTTCTTTTTTCATTAGCCAGTCAGACAATCCATAACCATTCAGCCAGCTGAGACTTCAGCTCACAAATGTCAATGAACATATCATGTCCGTTTATTGCCCAGCCGTTCGCTCTTTGTTCCAAATTTCATTTGCTCTCTGACCTACCGCTAGACTCCCCACTTGCGTTGCACTCCGACAGGGCGCCAAGTCACTCACCCGCAGGGGACTATTTGTTCAAGCCCCCTGGCTGGACGTAAACGAAATAAATCCTAAATTCTCTTTCCACTAGCATATCTGCTCAGGAGTTCCAACTTTTTTTTTCTGTGGGCAGCTCTGCAGTGAAAACCTAAACCGTCCAAATGCCTGCAAAAAGGGGCCAAGCCTGAGAAATATAGGACTGCACTTTTCTCATGCAAAGCTGTTACAGCTGTAGCTTTGGTGCTCATCTGGGATCGCACTCCGAGCTGGCCAAGCTTCTCTCCTAGCCAGCATGGCTGCACCACTGCGCTGTACCTCTGCTAGCCCCTCTTTCTATTTAGCACGGCACTCTCCTGTGCAGAAATCTCCCAAGAGCTTTTAAAAGCATTAGTAAATATTTGCAGGTCTTTTTGTCGTCCCTTGCAAGCGTTCAGCCTTTATTTGGAGAAGTGCTCAGCGTCCACTGTACTTGCAGCTATCAGACAACCACCTCCTGTTTTAAATATTATTTTCTGACAGTTTTAAATGTTCTTTTCTCTAAAAGATCTCAAAGTGCTATGAACTGATTTAGCCTCACAACATTGTTCGAGGTATATATCATTTCACGACCCACTTCACAGTGTTCATTTACCAGGTGATTAACTGACACACCCAAGGTCACAGCAAGCTGGTACCCAGTGCCAGACTCTCTAGAACATATTTGATGGAGCATACATTAATGCAAAATTAATGGGTATTCATTACAGTGCAGCGGCATTTACTAAAGATGCTACATAAGCTAGTAAATAATACACAACAATAAAATGTACATAATTTTGATGGCCAAATGCTCTGCTAGTGTCAACAGTTTCTGCCCACAGTAAATTGGTTTCTCTAATTCTGAAATAAACACAGTTAAAGGAGATATATAACAAACTGACAGCTTACCTTCTGCGAACGACTGTTCTCCTTTAGATACAGGTCAAGACTCAATCAATTTAGGTATTAGATACTTTCATAATTAAAGTAGCACAAGACAAGGAAAGAGACTGCTAAGGGAAGAAGACACGAGATAACAGATAACAGAATATGCTAATGAGTAAAAATGAAGATTCAAGATCCTGGTTTTTAATCTATGTTTTATTAAATAATTGAATATCCTGCTGCATGTTTATGAAAGGGTTTCAGCAATGAGCATTAAAGGTCTGAGTCCTTACTCAAGAAAGCACTTAAAGGGCTGTCCCTAACCAGAAAAGAACAGGCGCAAAGTTACGGAAACCAGTACACCCTTCAACCACGTGCACTCGCCGGCTCGGAGGAACTGCTGAAGGAAATACCTGCCTAACAATCTCAGTCCTGAATCTCTGTTACTGTCCTGCACGCGTTCACAGGATGCAAAATGCAGGAAAGGGGAGTTTAAAAGACCGCCATCCTGATCAGCATGCATTTCACACACTCTGTACTGCAATTAATAGCTGCTGTTAGCCCCAATGTCCGCCAGGCCAGTTCCTACCTCCCCCAGCTTGCAGTCTCGTTCCCCTTCTTCCTGCTCACCAAGCTCTAAGCTCAGTCATATTCCTTATAGGATATCTTCCCAGATTAGTCTTACTATGCTCTTTCCGTAGGTCTAGTCATTGTTTCTTCTGAAAGGGAATCAGGTAACTTCGTATTTCATCCTGCCTGAGCATCAGCCAGGAGCCTCAGAGCTGGGGAAAGCTCTTTTTTCCATATGGACATTTGGCTTCTGCAGGCTTGCAGCATCTCGCGGTCCCGGCTGTAGAGACAATCCTCCTTCACCTACACTTTAGCATGTTCAGGGGAAATAAAACAGGAATTCAGCCTTTTCAGCAACAAAGACCTAGCAAATCTTCATTATTCACAAACTGCATTTTTCCAGATGCCTGTGTGTGGACATATTTGGCACAGTTTCAAGACAGAGGAAAAGGAAAATCCTCGATAGAGATTTTAAATCTCTGGTCTAAAGCAAAGCGGAGCTTCTGAAAGAAGAGATCGCTGGAAGTTTTTCGTTAGCGTGAGTGAAGCAACATATATCTTCTCACCCTTTCTTGGAAACTTCGAATTGTTTTGCCTGAAGTCTTCTCTAAGCAAGTCAGCTGGTGCCAGGCACCTGTTACAGAAAATTTCAGCTGAATACATAGTCTGGCAGGATTACAAGGAGCTTGCAGTGAGATGTGTTAGAGGACTCACCGACAGGCAGTGCTCCTGCATGAAGCAACGCTAAAGAAAAGCTGGAGACTGAAGGATAGGAGTAAAAAATTTTAAATTGATTTTATCAGCAACTTTGAGTGTTTGGGAAAGATTCCCCTGAAAAGGGGGATGTGACTGCGGCCAGCATGGCGAGCAAATTAATGCAATATCTAGTTTATACATACAAAAAAATCCCCAAATGACAAGACAAGTAACCTTCACTTGAACCAGTTCTCTAGTGGATTGTATGGGACTTACCAATAAATAACAAAAACTATTGTTGTCCCAAAGAAGGGTTCGGCTCATTGCACACCGGGTGAAAGAACCCTTCTTTGGGACAATACTATCAGTAAAGCTTGCTCACACGTTACTACTTCAGGCACCAGTTCTAGACCAAAATCAACTCTGACGCTTAATTATGACAGTTGAGGTAAGAGAAGTTTTTACTGATTTAAAAGTCACAGGAAGGGAGAAATAACACCATTATTCTCACATGTAGATGGAAGCTATGTAACGTGTGGCAGGCTCTGGGAAACAGGCTGGGGTAGAGCCAAAGGGAATTGCAACACCCTTTACCACTATATAAAAATATGCATCCTACAGCCGCTGTGAACATCACAACAGACACAGCACTGTCAGATCACACCTGGTACAAAGGTAAATATGAAAGTAAAAACTTTTTTCAGCGAATAGATGTGAATGTAAATGATAAGATAATGATTTTTAAATTGAAAACCTCAGCTCCTGAGGCTGGATTTTTCTCTCCTCTTTCATGATGCAAGATGATAAATACTGTGTGGGTAAACCTAAAGAAATAAACTCGGCTATACCTAGCTACTCCTCACTTTAAGTACTGATGGCAGAATTAGGTCCAAGCCTGCACCTGTATCTGTGCAGCTAGACCCCAAGAGGAAGATTTTCAAAGGCTTTTAAAACAATAATTTGCTTTTAAATCAATAGGACTTTGGAAGGTTGGAGCACCGGTCCTTAGTATCTAGCAAAATCATAGCAATTCCAAGTAAGCTAATCGAGCATTGCAAGAGGTCTGGGAAGGTGGAGTAAGATGCGCACAGTATTTATACTTCAAACAACTACTGGCTTTGTGTTGGATGAGCGGGACTTGAAAACAAGCAGTTAAGCACCCAGAGAGCCCACAGGCTTTGTTAGGAGCGTGCAGTCAGCTCACGTCCTGCCGACCCAGCGCACACTGGCAGTGATACAACGATTACTGCAATACTTGCACATCTTTGCATACCACCTTGGGATCGGGAGCGAAAGAAGGAGCTCTGTGTAAATGACAAAGTATCATTATCCCCAGGGTGTAGAGGGAGAAACTAAAAGAGATTGTTACATGCCCACGATCGCATTGCAGGCAAGCTGCAGCGGCAGAAACAGAAAGGGGCTTTGCTGATGCCCAGCAAAGTGGCTGTATGCACAAGCTCGCGTCGGCTCTGTGCAAACTCAGAAGCCAAACGCTGCTTCTGAACATCCTGATGCCCCTGGATTTCACTCTAACCACCACCTATGAATGTCTTCCTCTCTTTACTTCAGTGAATAAAGTCTCCTTTCTCATTTTAGTGAACCATTCCAGGGGTTATTATAACCGAATTGTATTATTTATAGAAAACCAGTGAATATGGAGAGAACAGCAAGGTTACCATATATGAAATTCCAATTTCCTAAAAATGTGGAAACTATAATTAGCCTAGGACTGATTCTGAATACATAATGGTGATCAAACCTGACCTAAAAATTCAAAAATGCACTTTGGCTTTGACATCCTAGCACTCAGTTTCATTTCTACATCCCTTTCCCTATGAGTGATGACTCAAGTCTTCCCAAAGAAGGGTGGATTTAGGCAATGCTTGCAGAAGAGGCACCTGAGGAAAATCTAGTTGGATCAGGAAGAAATATGGCTGCATCAGCAGGTGTAGGGTCTCTCTGAAATCAAGCATCAGCTCCAGAGTATGAGATTTCCCTGTTAAATAAGAAAAAATAAGTCCACTAAGTCTTAAGATCTATCTCTGCCTAGAAATACTAAAGTGACTTAAATTTGAGGATCACATTGTAATCCCATATAATTAATGTTTGTCATCTCGCTGGAAATTGCCAGATTATCATTAGTTCATCTTTTGTATTTCCAAGAGAAACTCATTACTCAGTGAGTGAAACGTTAGGAAATTATTTACAATTATACTGCCGAGAGCAGTTGGTTAATTCCATCTACTAATTAGCACCACTTACATAAGTATAGGTAGAGTGCTATAAATAATAACATTAATGTGTGCCATGCTGGCACCAGCTTTCTGGGGCTTCTATGAAGTAGTGGGAGCTACCCCCTCTGGTGGCCTTTTAATGGGATTTTACTCAAACCACAAGCAAGGCTCCTAAAATTTCCTTCTTTTCTTTTCTTTGCCTTGGGAGGAGAGAGACTGAGTGACTTGCAAAGGCAGCTGTTTCCAGCCTCCTTTCTCCAGTGGTCACCTATGCTTAGCTACCGGTTGACACTTTCTATCTCCAGCTCTGCTCTGCTGGGAGAAAACTGTTTCCGTATGGGAAAGCGGTGCTGATAGGTAAAAAAGAAAGCCCTTCAGTTTGACCTGGAAGCTGTTGTACAGCTTCCAAGCAGGAACCATACAAGTACCTACTTTTTATGGATTTTGTGCTGATGGTGACTGCAGTCTCCTTAAATCAAGCCACTGAATCAGGGTGCACTGAGTCGCCATGAGAGCTGCACGTCCCATTTGTACTGAACAGTTTGTGGTTTTTGGCAGCAATTGCATTTCACTTTAAACAGCGATTAAATTTTGAACAAAAAAAAAAAAAGAGAAAAAAAAAAAGAATCGCAGGCCTTACAGAATCTACCCGGGACGTCTCCCTTCCAGCTGGATTATCTAACTGAAAGGCAGGGGATGCTTGCCTTGTTTGCACAGCACGTGGGTATCTGCAATCCTAGTCTGACGAAGACCTGTGTGAACTAATATACTATGTACTGTATTTTAGTCTGACCTCCACAAGCCTACAGTCATGCTGCCTTTTTGCCTTTATTCTTCTTTTCTCGCTAAGATTCTCACTCCTCTCTGCACAATACTTTTGACTTAGCAGGGAGTGACCATAACCCACACCCCAGTCTGTCCCTTGAGCGTTTGGACATTGACCAGGGATGTGCATTTGTGCCAGACTGGTGTTGTTTCAAAAGAAGAGTTGGAAGCACCTGCTTGAGGGCAGCATTGCTGATTGTGGGCCCTCCATGGATCCGAGCGAGGTAGAAGTTGGCTCCTTCTGTTCCCAACAGAGCGATTTGCCTTCTGCCGGTGCCGTACAGAGCCAGGAACCTGCCTAGGATGCTGGGCTTCTTCTGAAAGCTAGATGGATAGAAATGAAGAAAGCAAAGCCCACATCCTTCCTTGGAATCTGCTCCTGTTTGGGGGGAAAAAGGAGGATTAGTGCATTCCTGAAATGTTATCCTTTGGTCTCAGGCAGCATTTATTCCATCTGAGGCTTCCTCTCCTCAGTGACATCTGAGATGTGAAAGGGGGAAGAGGAATGGTGTTGCAATGCCAAGACATACACCGAAAACAAGAAGTCCAGAGCTTATTGTTCCTTAGGGCATTGGAATATGCAGAAATGAACAGCTGCCATCCTAAAGCACTTTAAATATTAGTGACATAATAAAACACTTATTTTCATTGTTTCATATGTTTTTCAGTTTGCGCACTTAGCCACAGCCAGAATTTCCTGACTAAGTGCATGCAATTGGCTGGCAAATTCAGCCAAACAGTCTCAGATGTTAAAGTCCTTATTACAATGATCCCAGCACCAACTGTCTGGAACCATTTAATAAGATGGAATTGCAGTTTGAATGACACATACAATCAAAATTCTCATTTGTTTTCAGAAAGAAAAATCCATCTAATTGCCAAAAGAAGAGAATGGGAGTGGTTTTGAAGCTAGCCTGCCATGTTCTACTATCAATTTAGCTGCAATTCGAAATATAGGATTTGCCTTAATGGATCATCAGGTCTTAACACAGAGGAGAAAAGAAGGCCTCGGGAGGGTTATTGAATGAGAAGGAAAGGAGGCCTTGGCTGTTATTAAAAAACAATGAAAAATCAGAGAGGAAAAAAAAAGTATTTTTGTGACTGTAACTAGAAACAATTACTACATACAGTGGGATTTTTCAAAACCCTATAGTCACTTGCTATATCTTGGACATTTTCAATTCTGGCAGGAATGTTCCCTATAGCTTATGATCCATTTTACCAACCAGTTTTTCAATGACCCATGTAAAACAATGAAATACTCTCTACACGATTATTACATCATGCCAATCTACAAGTGAGATCATATAATTTTCATTACCGAGAAAAGCCTCCATCTAAAGTGTCTTGCTTGGAATAGTTTATAGCCAAAAGGAATAGTTTATTGCTTTTGCTGCTATTTTAAAACATAAAACATCGATTATTTCCAACTCAGTACTTTCTCTTTCTCCAAGGAAAGCTGGTTTCTTCTTCCAGTGCTCAGACATCAATGTTTTTTTTTATTATTTGCTGCCTACTCACTCTCTCATAACACCTCAACTTTTGATCAAGAGCATTCTTCAGGAGAAACAGAATCCAACAAAGCATATGCCCTTTCCTCCCTGCACATTTATTCAGTTCATATGCCCATCAAACTGATGAGTTGTCCAGGATGAACTACAAAAAAGCCTTCAGGAGAGCACAGACTGACACTTTGGGATTCCCGCTTCCTGGCTGTGCAGCCTTGTGACAAGCTCGACCATCCAAGAGTTGATGTCATGAGATAGTTAACATTAACAGTTATGCTGGCGCAGAGGCTGCTGGGTGGGATCAAACCCCAGCTGGGGGCAGCAAGCCAGCAAGGAGCTGGAGCACTTGATACCAGGTCAGTCTGCAAAGCAGCAACTTGGTGGGAACTGATAATCTTTTTCTCTCCCTCAGCTCTTCCAGGTATGTGGCATGTGCCTCATGGCTGTCAGACAGATGAAGTTTTGGGATATGGTTTATAGAGCCACGTGTCCGACCTGGCAGTAGCCGGTGGTGATAACAGCACCTCCTTTTCTTGCAATGGCCTCCCACTCCCAGACAGACTCTTCCTTCCAGATGCTCTAATGTTCCTTACTGGAAAAGTGCCCAGAGCCCCCAAATTCTTCCTTATAATATTTTTCCCTATGGGGCATTTTCCTGATTTGGTACAGATTAATAAGACCACATTTGCTGGCACCTCCTACTTCTTCACCCAGTTCATACGTCCTATGGTTAGTGAACCTTCATGGCCATCTGGCCTTGTTACAGCTGCTGTGGCAGTCATGTTGTTAAAGGAGGTAACACTTGAATAGGAGCTGAATCTGCACCCTGCAAATTATATTGCAGCAATCCAATCAACACTCATGTCAGAACCAGACCCCAAAATCACTTAATCTGAGTGCCAATGCAGGCCTGCATGTCAGCCCGGGAGTTGCTGAAGGGGACTGTAAAGATCCCCCTCAAAGCCTACCAGAAAAGGCATCCAGACACCAGGAAGCAGCTCTGCATGCAGCGGAGTTGTGTTTATACTCTGCCTTGATAAGTCAAAGGCAGAAATGACTCTGATTTGATCCTACTCACAGCATTCCCTATGGGTCAAGGATACCAAAAAGATTTGCTTTGATGAGTGTCGGAGAAGAAAGCCCAGACTTTGAAAGTTACCTTTGTTTATGTATATAAACACACACACACACACACACATATGCACAGATATAGATACATGCACATTCAGTTGTTTTCCTTGCAAACTTTAAAGTCATGACAACACTTTTTTATATTCAAAGGGCAAAAGTTTGCTGTTGTTTTATTTTTATTCCCTCTTATTTGATTTTATATTTCCAGTATGTTACAAATCACAGGCTTACACCAGGATGTAAGCCATAACAGCACTGCCTCATTACACACACAAATGTTTGGGATTAAAATTATAGGTTAGTGGCATATATAAAAGGCAGATTATAATTAGTGTCTAGACTCTTGAGTGATGAATCACAACAGAGTATTATATACCATCAGCCTTGTACTATGCTGTGGGTCAAAAGCCAGTGATCCTAGTAACACCATTGAGCACAACCACTGCAGGACAGGATGCATGTTCCCACATCTTAGGACTAACAGGTGACATTGCTGCTTGTAAATTCCCTGAAAGTGAAGTTAGGACTTGTTGAGGGTGCTAGACAGGGTGCTCTAGAGCATAAAGATTAAGAAGGTTTAACTCTGGATGATGCATATCAGGAGCGATGAAGGAGAGAAAGCTGGGTAGAAAGCTTAAAATAGTTACGAATAGGGAGTGGATAGCTACCAGAACTGAAAATGTCTCAGTTAAAGAACTTTTTGCATGAAAATCCTCTTCTATTGCATTTTCAGAGAACTTATTGCATTTTCAGAGAACTTATTGCTGAGAAGGACATGGAGAGAGAAGGGAGGGTGGGCAAGGGGACTTCCCAGCCTACTCGGAGCATTTATGCGGGATGAAAGAGAAGGCTCTGTGACTGACTGTCTCCACAAAGCTCAACAGGTTCTCTGAGGCTCCTGTCTCTCACACCACATGGATGCTTTCCAGAGAAAGTTTCTGGATTTAAAAAGAAAGACAGGAGCAGCTCGAACAACTTGATGATAATGAGGAGATTTAGCACCAGTGTCTGGTAGCATGGCAGCAGGGACATCTATACAAAGCAAAGTAGGAGACCTTCCAGCAGAAAGTCTATCATGGGCTCATTTCCATGTGATCCCTCTCCCTTTAAACAACGACCAGTGTCACTGTAAGCCTTGCAATATCACCGTTGTTTTTAAGCACATTTCTCAGCTGACTGAACTTTTATTCACATTCCAGAAGAGGCACATTCTGTTGAATGCATATTATTCTATCTGAGTGCATGCTTCTCCCAACACTTAGTCTACCTTTAAGAGCATAACATACATACTCATGTATGCATGTAGTCACATGTGTGCTCACAAGACACGCACATACGGATGAACATTTCAACTATAAAAACATCCTGCATCTCATCTGTTGGTAATTCTTCCCTCCAGGGAGACACATGTGCTGACAGTGAGACAATTATGAAGGTGAATGAGCTTTGAAATGTATTGTTCCCCTGTTCAATAGTGCTGATTGGCAGTGGTGATTAAATGACTCAAGCAAGGGGAAGTGGTATTCAGAGGCTGACCAGGCAGATCATGGCTGCAATCAGTTTAAGCATCTGAGAATAAGTGTTGGTTTAGTTCTTGAACAGTGCTGTAGTTCAGTGGGAGGACTGCTTGCTTCTTCCCTGCTGCTAGGGAACCAGGCGAGGGTACACATCTTGTGTGGTTAAAATAAGAGAATAAGGTTGGCTATTTCTCCATTTTTTTTAATTACTTCATCTGATGGTCCATGGGAAAATCTAGGTGCCTAGTCTTTACCTCCTAAAGATCAGGCTTATCCAACTTTGGAAGGCCAGAGTCCAAAGAGGACATCGTGGTAATTCCCCTTTTGCCAAGGACTGAAGGAGCCAGGCCTCTGGACTCCTGCTTCTTTTTTTACAGCTCATTCACTGACTCAAATTTTCTTCCTAGTCACTCTCTACTTCTTCACATTACTGGAAGTGCCCTATTGCTAGGAAGATAAGAGGTGTATTGACAAAAAATCAAAAGAGGCCCACATGAGCACGGTAAGATTCATGAGGCCGTAAGCCTGCACCATGAATGCACTGTCTTTAAAAACACTTCTCTGAGTTGTACCTGCTAGCATCCAAACCCTCTCCAGTGGCCTGGAAGAAGAAGCCCCATTTGACAAGCAGAATACATTAGGTGATCATAAAATATTTGACATAAATTGTATGCAGGTTAATGTTATATGTGCAAACTGAGAAATACAGTGCAAACACTGGATGGAGACCCGGGGCATGAACAAGGATATATGCCCTTCATAATCAGTGCAACATTTCAGAGCTGGCTGCATCTTAAATCCCCTTCTGGTCTCCCTCTTCTTTCCCGACTAGCCTGCTAGGGAATTAACACGACACAGGAATACATAAACACCTCAATATACTTGGCATGATGTCGTATTCACAAACCATCTCAGGAAGCATCAAACATACTGCAGTCATACAGAAATGCCACCATGGTTAGAAGAGCAAGGCTGGATCAAAGTCCTTCCTCAGGGCTGAGCTCTCATGACTGGGAATTATTGCTGCTGCCTTTCCAACCAAAAGGTCCCTCTCCATGAAACCATCTTTTCTCATAACAGTCCCACTCATGCAATCGAACTAAAGAAGCCAGTCCAGGAGGCATAGCAGCTGCAGGTGTCCTCATACAGGCAGACTTTGTTTCCCATCTATCATGGGGTCATGTAAACACCTTTGCTGGAATATCTGTTAACAGATTGAGCTGCATTCAATGGACCTCCCCTTCTCCAGGCCTTCTCCCCTGCAACCTTACTATTTTCTGTGCTAAAGATTTCAGTCCTCCATGTTTTGCTGGTGACTGCTTTCACCCTCTCTCTCTTTAGAAAGCCTTGCTCTTATATAACAGTGGATGTGACGGGGACTCTGTAGGATCACCTTCTGCAGCTAGGTCAATCAGCCTTGAAACACAACTCCTCTAACAAGCTTCAGTCAAGATTGTTACACACTTGGTTGGTGCTGGAGAATTCTGCAAGAACTTCAGCAGGCCCTTACAAAGCTGGGTGATTAGCTGTTGAAACACAAGGACTGGACAGACAGAGACTGAGGAGCCTGGGAAGAAGACCCTAACCATCCACTCTCATTGCTAGGCAAAGCAGATAAGAGGAAACAAGGAAGGAGGAAGTATTTTTAAAAGTCATGTTATACATAATTGTATATACATTTTTGTGTATGTGTGTGTATGTATGCTTGACCTCCTCTGACACCTTTTTGAAGTTATCAGAAGCTCAAAAAATGCATTCATTTTCCATTTAACTGCATAATTTTCTGAGAGGGATGGAGAAACTGCCCACTTCCGTCTTCAGTTAGAAGGGGGAATATTTCACAATCATTACTTGAATATATTTTCTTGGTTTTTTTCCAATGTTTCTTAAAAAGAGTCTAAACCTTCTGCTAGGGCCTAAACTAACTGTAAGCCATTGTAGAAATGACTGTAAACTAGTATGAGACAACTCAAAGGAATCAAAGCAAACAAAACATCTGATTACCTACATAAATATGCCGTTGTATAAGCCAGCGATACGATCTCACTTGAGCACCGTATTCATTTCTGATCACACCAGCTCAAAAGCTATACAGAACAAATAACAACATTCATGAAACAAGCAAAGGGCTTTAGAGGGACCTGCATATGAACAGAAAGCACAAGAACCAAGAGAGAGTAACACCTAATGGATAAAATACTGGAGAGGGGCACAGAAGACCTGGGTTCTCTTTCCTATTCTGCCTTTCATAGATTGGAAGATCTCAGCTGAGTCATTTTGCCTCCTTATTCTTCAATTTCCTCTTCAATAAAATGAGGAATAAATGACACTGAACTTTAGAAGATAAGTTTTGAAAGATCTGCATAAGAAATCCTTCAAAAAGGCAGGTAGCATTTGCTATTCACTGTATGTAAAGGTGTCATCGTCCTCTCTAGCGTCCATTCTTCCATGGCTTTTCCCTGCCCCCTTTCAAAGTTGCTATGGTGGCCACCACCAGAGATGAGTTTCTAACCGAAGGAAACGTTTTTCTGATCCTGCATGGCAACTCCTGTCTCCAGTGGAAAATGTTTACTGAGCTATAGAAAATCTCAAAACTATAAGGGTGAAAGCAGAGAGAGATTTATGCATAATATGATACTCCAAGGAACACCCATCAAAATACACTTCTAATTTAGAGACAGTTGTCAAATGCCCAGCAGGGTTACTGTATCATGTATCAGATTCCCTTCTGCAAGTTTTACTTCATGACTTCCCTCATAAGGCAGAAAATAGATGAATTATTTTAATAATTGCTGACTGCAATTATATCGTCACAGCCTAAGCTATTCCCTCAGCCATCAGAGCAAACTAGCCAGTGCAAAGGTGATGCATTAATGGTCCCCAAAGAGGGGTACTAGTTGTGTGGTTTTATAGAGAAGTCATATATTCAACTTCCTCATCTCATGGTACGGTCCTATATTACCATAAGGAGTGATGAGAGGGAAAAATATTATTACCCCTAAAAATCTGAAAGTCCTCTGGCAATATTCTGCTGCAGGAGAAACTATTTCTCTCTTTCTGCTCCCCAGACCTCAAGACAGGTGACTTGACCATTTTTATAGGCATTGCAAAAGTGCTGAGGGTCCAAGTCCCGGGCCTAAACTTCATCTGTGGTAGAGGGCTTCCTCAGGGACCTGCAAACTCATTCCTACTCTACTTTACTCTACTATTTTTTACTATAATGAAGTTTCACTGCAATAAGGAACGGCTTTTTACAATGGACAGCGAATATGAGTAAGGTTAAGGAAGGTTTTTGAATTCCTGAGGTGCATCTAGCATTGACTAGGACAGAAACTATGTCCTAGGCAGGACAGCACAAGCACGGTGCTGCTCACATGCCCGCGCTGCTTTCCACCTACCACCTACGCGCTTATCACCACAGGTGCTGAGAGGTAGAAGAGAAGAAAGAGCGTAGGCTGAGAAGCGGGAGCCTCACACAGGGCTGCAAACTCTCTAACTCCTGCTGCACACTCACGTAACTCACAGGATTTTTTACCAATGAGTTCCTTTTTTTTTTCCTTATGTAAACTTCACAAATTGCAGAAGCAAAGCCTTTCAGTATTCAAATGTAATTAATAATTTCACTGTAATTAAATTAATAATTAGCTGGTAAGACATTTGAACCCTTTGTTGAGCAAAACCTGCTAATATACTGCATCAGGACTGCTCGCGTTGGTCTGTCTCTGAAGTAGCTATCCCACGAGTGGCAGTGAGCCAGGGGCTGCAGAAAACATTGTTTTTTTCCTGTCAGAGCTCTTCTGACAGGCTTCTGCAAGGTAGTAGCAGCTGTGCTCACAGGGCACCATTAAATCCTGGTTGCTGGATCCTATCAAAGATAGAAGGACCAAAAAAAATGTAAACATGGATGAGGAGGAGGCAATAGCCTCAGTTAACCAGCTCTCTACCAACTATCCATCATTTGTGGGCTGCCCAGTCAAGAGGGCTTTAAAACAATTTAAAGGAGGGCACCAAGTGGTGTGATATCTCCTTCAAAGGAGGATGTCACTCCAGCAGACCAACATAACAGAAACCACCAGTCCCTGGACAGGAACAGGTTCTAGGGGAATGAGCACCACTCACAGCAATGCCTTGCACCCTTTGGGGCATCTTAGGAAAGCAGTCCCAATAGCCTGAGACAACTCTTCCCCCTCTACACCAAATGGATGTCATTGCCATGGTGACAGCTAATTATCAGGGGATGACAGACTCCTCCTTGAACTGATCCCATCTGCGCTGCACACTGGACTAGCAAATTCTCTCGAACTTGGATGTTTTGCATGCTGGAAGCACACAGGCTATGGAGGCTTGAACCTGGAAACCTCACATGGAGACACATTAAGCCTTTACGATTTTACACTCAGAATAACTGCCCCTTTTTCCCCCCCCCCGCCCCCCCCCCCCACCCTCACAGCTGGAGGCACAGGGCCTCTGTCAGCCCATCTTAGTCAGCCTGCGACTGGGCAAGCACTGTTCTTTAGTACTGAGGCATCTTAAAATAGGACTTTAGCTTTCCCCTGAAGCCAACTGAATTAATCAATTCCTCCTTGGCATTGAAATAAAGTTCTCTTTCTGCGAGGTGGGTCAAAAATGCACAATCTACTTCTGCTGTTCTGTTCCTATGAATTCTATTACAATAAGTTGCAAGGGGGAATATTACAGGGAAGGCAGAGCCAGCGGCATGCCTTGCTTTATGAGGGGGAAAAAAACAGACGCACAATTTATTTTTCATTGCTTTATGATGAATATGAATTCAATTACATGCAGGGGAGAACTGCGGTAGTCAGTCAGAATTATACGCAGCTAGTAGCAAGTATACTGGCTTTTAACAAGGAGAGCTTATCATCAAGGTTCAGACAAGCTTGCGTCTGTGTTGCACCTGATGAACCTGCACTAGGAGACAATGACTATCACAGCTGAGAATTAATCTCACATCTCTACTGCTTGAGGAGGGAGGGGAACGAAGGATGTTAGTGGAGCCCTCTGGTCATTGCCAATCCTCAAACCACACACGTGGTAGGACAGCAGCTACGTGCACCAGGGAGCAGAAGGACCATCCATCAGAATATGAACACATGCAACAAAAGCAACACAAATACACTTGTCTCCCTTCTTGTTTCCATCATTTTTTCCAATAGCCAAAATGCATCTCTCCCTGTAGCTGGTTGGAAATGTTTCCAACAGCCAGGTTAAATGTTGCCACCTAAGCTTGCAAGCTTAGTGGTCACAGGTGCACAAAACATCTCATCCTCTCCTTTGAATCAGCCAGACATCTGGGAAGTGCCTGTACAAATGGGTCACTGCACCCAAGCAGCCCAGCACACAGCTGTGTGTCCGGATACGTACCTGTGCATTTTAGTTTATAAGGCTCTAATCACTCTGAGACAAGTACCAGCAGTGCAGGACTTCTGAGTTCTCTAAGGAGGGCTTTAAAGCCCCTTTCAGTCCTTCTAGCTGAGCAGACATCCGTAGTTATTAGCACATCTTTACTTACCACAAAGTGTCTTCTAGCAGAGCTCCACCGAAGAGATGAACACCCTACTTCAGAGAGAGCAGTGAGATTCACTGCATCCCCAGGACTCTGCTTGCAAACACAGCTCCTCTTCGGACTGCCCTGCAGTGTTCAGAGGCTCCAGCACGCCTTCCCTGCACCTACTCGCTCCTCAGGAGTAGCAATACCGACTGCATCTGTGTTTCCCCAGGTGCCACAGCAGCAACAAGAGAAATCTGCAAGCATAAGAGAGGGGGGATAGACAGTTCCCACATATCGTGCATTAAGTTGATGCGCAGTGCAAACCTCACAAGTGATCACTGCTATCTGGGCAACAATAGTATGTCCAGGTTTTCTCTCCTCAAGGTAGCTCTCAAGTTTTTTCTTGGGGTGCTTAGCCACTTAGAAAAGTAATGCTAATGCAACATGCAAAGGAACCACCTACCAGCTCTCCTGTGGGATCAGGCATGAAAAGACTATGCATCTTTAGCAATCTCTTAGGACAGCAGTCCTAAGCAGCTAGTCTATATAACTTGACATCAGTTCTCATTAAGTTATTAAGATAGAAACCCTGAAAGCTAGGTGGGGCTGCTGCTAACGAGCTCTCTGGGCTGCCCTGGTCAGAGGGAGCTGGGGCTTTTGTTTCAGGTGGCTCCTGATTGGGTGGGTCAAGCACCCTTGTGAGTCACTGCTAGGCAGAGGCCTATATAAGAGCCAGGCCTAGAGCACAGCCAACAGATGCAGCAGTTTGTGCAGAAGGCACCTCTCCATTTTGCATGCTTTGCACAGTGGTGTGTCCTTCCCCGGGGCATGGTCATGACATGCCGCAGAGCACGTTCCCCAGTGGCTGCGGGAGGTGCTGTGTCTGAGGCCTCAACCCAGACAGACCCTCAGACAGCAGATGCAGCTCTGCAGGTGTCAGGCTGCGGGGAGTGCCTGGGGCCTCTCTGCGAGGCCTGGGCTGACAGTCAGCTCTCCTGTGTGAGGTGTGCTGTGGTTGACCAATTGCGTCACCAGATAAAGGAGTTACAGGAGGAGGTTAGTAGGCTGCGTAGCATCCGAGAGGATGAGCGGGAGATTGACAGGGTGTTCTCGGAGA